ATATTTTCAGTCATCAATTTGTTTTTCCACAACAATCTATCATGCAACAAATTGGTGTGTCGGAAGCTTCTTATGGCACATATATAATGCATCCTTGTTTCATAGAACTTCTTACGGAATTGGAAGGCCACTTGCTTTATGAACCGTAAATTTTTTCACGCGTTATATTGCTATATGATGCGCTGTACAACTAAATGAGCCTTTTTTTTAGGGGAGAAGTCATCCTATCATCTATCAAATCCTGTTGCGAACGGCGGAAGTACGAGCCCTTCGAGCAAAAGGCGGATGGTAGATTTTTAGCACGCTTGAAAAGGTCGCGTATCGAGATCGGGCATCTAGAAATGTCGGGGGGCTATGGCCACCGTGAGATTCCACGATCTACATGGGACGGATGTTGTAAAGGTTCTTTAGGCAATATGTATATGCTTGAGGAGATCGGTGAGAGATATCACAAAGTATCACCAAAGTCATTTGCGAACACATATGTCTTTTTCGTGCATACTTATGGTAAATATTATTCGCATTTCTTATTTATTGATATCAAAGTTTATTCATTCTGATTTGTACTTGTAGAAGACAAAATTGAAATTTGGCAAATGCATAACTGTGCTCGAGGAATTTTACAATGGGAGCGTACGCACAAAGCAATTGTTCCGATCTGCTATGAAGAGCAGAAAACCCATCTTTTTGATTTTGTGATCTTGCTCTGGGATCTAAAGGTATATTTTAACTGTTTTGGTGATGTTTTTTATTTCTTACTTATTGATCTCTAATTATTATTGGCTGGCAAATCAGATCGTAACGACCCAAATCAAGACTTATTTACTTATGCTAAATAACAGGCTTGCAGGGCATAAGAGAGGACATTCTCATGTGACAAGGATAGAAAAAGCCTAATTAATTGTGAATCTAATTTCTACATACCAATACAAGCTTTCATGAGACCAGTAATGATCTTAAACTACACTTTATGTAGAAATAATAAAATTCGACATTTAACAATTATTACAACGGGTTTAAACATTTGTTATTATATCAAAAATGTAAAGATATGTTAACACGTGTGAATTGCAATTAATGAATGACTGCATGTTCAACTGAATACTAAACAGAATCAATACCGAACATACGCGTAACGAAATTTGATTACCATCAATAATACTAAAAGCAAGTTCAAAGACAGTAGTAATTTGTTCTAACTGTAGATGAGCGAATAAGGATACCTACTGTATTAAGACCCTGTAGACTTGATTTTTTTTTGCTTCGGCAGAAACAAGTTTGGCCCAATGTCGCTGAGAACAATCGATTCTTTTTTTTTTTTAATTCATTGTTCCGTGATCTTGTAATAATGTAAATATTCTTGTGTACGATTGGCTGTCCCATTTGGTCATTTTTTACCCTATATTAATATTACCCAAAGATGGGAGAGTTCGCGTATTCGAACAAAAACTATTTACGCTCCTGTCCTTTTCGTCCGACATTACTAATCTGTTAATCCACGATGG